GTTGCTGTGAGCTGTGATGCCATGGCACTCTACCCAGGGGCTCAGCTTGAGGCTCTGTCTCAAAAAAAAAAAAAAACACAGGTGGGGATGCAGCTGTCAGGGACATTTCTGAAGTGAATGTCCTCAATGCCTAGTACTTCCCAAGCTGTATGTGAAGCTGCGTTAATGAGTGAGTTGTCCCTTTCACAGAAAAGTCATCAGGAATTGATCTCTGGAACCTAGCAAAGACCTAACACCCCCACCCCAACTTAGACCTGTAGGTGCTGCCCCACGACCTCTGCCAGAGCCCATGTAAGGAGCTGAGTCTCTAAGGACTAAAGAAAAACTATCCTTTGGCAAAAAATAAAATGAAAACTATACTTTTTTAAGAAAAAGGTGAAGAATGGCAGGAGGAGGGCAGACTTACATTGGCTAAGGGGCTCCACGTTTCACAAATAGACAAAAGGCAAGAAGCAGCTCCTGGGTCCCCAGGCCCAGCTCACCTGGCATGTGCACCGGGTACAAGGCTCATCATCCAAAGTGAACACCTGGCCATTCACTACCTTCCTCCCCTCGTAGTTGCAGTCTGCAGAGGCAGAGGAGACAGACCTCATGAGAGCCAAGACCTACCCAGGGCCTCGGACCTGGGGCAACTGGTCCCACTCACCTTGACACACGGGGCAGCACTCCCCATCAGGGTGAAAAGGGTAGGTACAGGTGATGGGGCAGTCCACAGGTGAACAGGCCACTGAGCCCAGCTGCAGGACACAGAAAATGCACAAGGTCCTTTGTTCAGAGGAGTTGATGAGATGCTCAGATAGCCACTGAGTACCCCATCAAAGCAACCCATGTCACAGAAGAAGAGCATGGCAGGGTGGAAGGCAGGGTAGCATTTACTCAGAGTCCATCTTCCCCCCAGAATGCAGGCTCCACAAGGGCAAAGGTCTGGCCTTTTCCACAGAGTTCATCTGTCAACAAGTACCTGTTGGCCAGGTACAGAGGCCCATGCCCATAATCCCAGCACTTTGGGATACAGGAAGATCACTTGAGGCCAGGAGATTAAGATCAGCCAGGACAATATAGCCAGATCCCATCTCTACAAAATATTTTTGTTTTGTTTTGAGACAGAGTCTCAAGCTGTCACCCTAAGTAGAGTACCATGGTGTCTTAGCTCACAGCAACCTCCAACTCTTGGGCTCAAGTGCTCCTCTTGCCTCAGTTTTTCTATTTTCAGTAGAGATGGGGCCTTGCTTTTGCACAGGTTGGTCTCAAACTCGTGAGCTCAAGCTATCCACCCACCCTAGCCTTCCAAAGTGCTAGGATTACAGGCATGAGCCACTGGGCCCAGCTCAAAATATTTTTTAAATTAGCCAGTTGAACACTGGCTGAGGACAGTGAGGGGAGATAAATGTGATACTTTCATCACATTTATTCTGTCTGCCTGAAGGAAGGATGACCTTCACCAAGACCCCACCTGTGATACCAGTCCCTGCCTCCCACTCCCAAAAGAAAGGGCAATGCTGCAAACTGGCCAACGCATGCCCTAAGGGTGCCAGACACGGCAGGGAGGAGGCAGGAACCAGTGCTCATTATCATGGCAAGTGCCTATAGTCCCAGCTACAAACAAAAACAGCTGCCTGTTACATGAACTGCCCAGAAATGGGAAGGACCAAAACCCAAGGATAAAGAAAGACCCAGAGGCCAAAGCTCCCCAAAGGACATGGCTGTGAACAAATGGGGCCAGTGCCATGGGTCACTCAGGGTAAATACCCCAGTGGATGTAAATGGCCACAAGGATGTTTACCCTGAGTTTCTCAATCTTCTGTAGACCACATCACTTTTCAGGCATGCATGGCTGATATCCACACAGTCAGCAAAGGGACATTAATAGTTCAGTGAGACAAGAATTTTTTTTTATTTTCCAAGTACTAAATTATACATCTATCTAACGTACTTTCTCAGACTGAGAGGCAGTATCCCTGAGGGACACAAACACATCCTGGAGAATACTAGGATTCAGATCTTGGAACTTTGATTAACCGGTTATGGCATCTCATGCAAATGACTATGTCTCTCTGTACCTCAGTCTTCTAATCTAGAAGAATGGGATGATGGTGGTGCCTGCCCCATAAAATTCTCCAGTGGTTTCACCAAGTTCATGCACATGAAGGTCAAGAACAGGGCCCAGCACAGAGGAAGAGCTGGAGGATGTGTGTATATGGAGAAGATGCCACACAGAGCCTGGGTGTGTGTACCGCATCTCTCCCCTCGGTAAGAATCCCCCGGCCTCATTTTATACCTCAAGAAGCCAGTACCTGAGACACTTGCTAGTAATTCAGCAGCAGAGGATTTTTGCCATTTGGGGTTAAAAATATTTCTCTGCCTCCATCTAAAGATTCGCCCTGGGCAGTGCTAGAAGGAGTTGACTTTCACCATCAGCCACAAGTGACCCTTCTCAGGGAGGTCCCTGGGTTTTTGCCTCTGGGTTTCAGGAACTTATTGCAGTTGCAGGGAGTTTCCAGAGACTGAGGTCAGATCTGGGTGGTTCATACCAGGCAGATGCAGCTCAGACACGGGTCCAGCACAGACGGGAAGGTCTCATTGTTGTAGAAGATCCTGCCTGTGTAGGTGCAGCCTGCCAGAGAGCACACAGTGAACACAGGCGGGGGTGGGGGGCAGTGACCTGGCTCCGCACTAGGACAAAGGTCGGAGAGTTATCTGGACACCAAAGGCCTTGTGCCTCCCCAAGCAGTCCCTCTGGTGGGAGGGGGAGGTAAGGGAAGGGACTAAACGCTTGTGTAAATTGGGCATCTGATTCGGGTGTTGATTTTTTTCCCACTGGATTCAGCAAAAGGATCACAGGGTCTCCATCTTTAACATTTTCACCCCAGAGTGGGGGGACATTCCTCCTCTACTCCCTCACAGATAGGAGGTGTGTGCGAGGGCCTCACAGCCATCCCCCCAGCATCCTCTCTGGCCCTCCCCACTCAGCCACACCTCAAACCCCACCTGCCCAGAAGGTTCCCCCACAGCACTCCCCTCTCTGACTCCTGATGTCCCCTGATGCCTTCTCTGAGCCACCATGATGATCTCATCACATACTGGAAAGTGTAACAGCAGGTGATGAAACAGGGGGGAAAGTTTTATAAGAAAAAATACATATAAGGTACATCAATAAATGTGTGTGTGCGTGTGTGTGTCACAAAGAGACGAGAAGGGCATTACCACAAGATTAACAGTCGTAAAGAGCCCTTTTCAATTTGTTTTTATTTACAATTTCTGTATTTCTACAACAAAATGTTAATTTTGAAGTCATGAAAAAAGGTAAAAATTGGCCAGGGAAAGTGGCTCATGCCTGTAATCCTAGCACCATGGGAGGCTGTGGTGGGTGGATTGCTCGAGCTCAGGAATTTAAGACCAGCCTGAACAAAAGCAAGAGCCCATCTCTACTAAAAATAGAAAAATTAGCCAGGTGTCATGGTGGGTACCTGTCATCCCAGCTACTCAGGAAGCTGAGGCAAGAGGATTGCTTGAGCCCAGGAGTTTGAGGTTGCTGTGAGCTATGATTCCACAGCACTCTACTCAGGATGACAGAGTGAGATTCTGTCTCAAAAAAAGGTAAAAATTACTGTAAAAAAATAAAGTACCACATTTATCTCCCCTCATGTCCTCTAATTGTCTCACAGGCATAGCTCCTATGTCACCCCTCCTGTGGGCCATAAACTCTGGGTGTCTTCTCACCTGCCTCCAGCACCCAGACAGGACCTGCCTTGGGCAAACTGCTTTGCCTCTCTGAGCCTCAGTTTCCTCATCTGCAAGATGGGGTTGACCCTTGGGGTTGCTGTGAGAATGTCATGGGATGAGGCCGGTACAATGCTCAGTATAGGGGAGCCTTGTACAGGGTGAACTAGGTGAGGGAATCCCTGAGAAGCCCTGCCCTGGGGGGCCAGAGGGCTGGGCAGGGAATTACCTGCTGAACAGTCAGGGCAGCACTGTCCAGGGATCCGGATGGGGTGAGGGCAGGAGTCCACACAGTCTGTCTTCTTGCAGCTCACCGAGCCATCTGCCTGAAGGAAGGACGACCTTCACCAAGACCCCACCTGTGACACCAGTCCCTGCCTCCCAGCCCCCAAAAGAAAGGGCAATGCTGCAAACTGGCCAAGGCATGCCCTAAGGGTGCCAGACATGGCAGGGAGAAGGCAGGTCCCCCTTAAAGAAGATCCGCTACTTGGGAAAGGTTTCGCATATTTAAGAAGAAAATTCAGAGCTGATGGTCCTCTAGGCTTCCTGTCCCCCTCCAACAGCAGCCAAAGGCAGCCCCTCTGCCCCATCCAAATTATTCCCTCAGCTTTTCCCTGAAACCCTGGCTCACCTAAACCATGAAATATAATAAAACCCTATTTTTATAGAAAACTATTCTACCAAAAATGTCTATTTCTGAAGACCAAAGTGCCATGCAAGGTTTCCTTTTTTTTTTTTTCTTTTTTCTTTTTGAGACAAAGTCTTTCTGTGCAGTGGTGTCTTTGTAGCTCACAGCAACTTCAATCTCCTGGGTTCAAGCGATCCTCTTGCCTCAGCCTCCCAAGTTGCTGGGAGTACAGGTATGGCCATCATGCCTGGCTAGTTTTTCTATTTTTATGGGGTTTTGTTTGTTAGTTTGTTTTTTTAAGACAAAACCTCAAGTTGTCACCCTGGGTAGAGTGCTGTAGCATCACAGCTCACAGCAACCTCCAACTCCTGGGCTCAAGCGATTCTCCTGCCTTGGCCTTCCAAGTAGCTGGGACTATAGGAACCCGCCACAATGCCTGGCTATTTTTGGTTTTAGCCATCATTGTTGTTTGGCTGGCCCAGACTGGATTCGAACCTGCCAGCTCAGGTGTATGTGGCTGGCGCCTTAGTCGCTTGAGCCACAGGTGCCGAGCCTAGTTTTTCTATTTTTGGTAGAGACAGGGTTTCCCTCTTGCTCAGGCTGATCTTGAACTCCTAAGCTCAAGAGATCCTCCTGCCTTGGCCTCCCAGAATGCTAGGATTACAAATAAGAGCCCAGCCTTCTTTTTGGTTATTTTTTTATGAATCTAAATATTGGCTGGGCAATGATTCTCCTTCATGAAGAAAGCACTGAAATTTCATAGAAACAGCCTGAGTACCGTCCATACCCAGGAATGCCTTCCCTGAGGATGCTTAATCCTAACTCCTCATGCTAGCAGCTCCCTACACAGGCTCAGTGTGTCACACATGGTGCATGAGGCAGACTGCCAAGCTCCACTGTCCTGAACCATCTACCAAGAACACAGCAAAGTGGATCCTAGCTCTTTCTGTAAAAGTAGAGCATGACAGCACATGAGGGAGACCGAGGCAGCCTCGGTGGCCCACCCCTGGAGGGGCGGGGATGCTTGGTCTCCTCCAGCAGGCGGCAGAGCAGTAGGTAGAGCAGCTGAAGGCGAGCAGGTTGTCATTCACCTGGCAGATGCATAACTCACAGGGGTCACCAGGCGACCAGATCTGTCCAATCGGAAACTCAACCCCATTGTCATCGAGAGAGCAGCCTGGCCAGGGGATGGGGAGGGAGAGCAGACAGTGGGCTCAAGTGCCTGTCAGACCTACAGCACTGCCCCAGGACAGGTATTTCACACAGACACAGGGACACACACAGACATATAGACACCACTCACACATGAACACAGACAAGCTCGTGCAAATGTACACTTACATACATTCACACAGACACAACAGAAACACAAACATGTACACTCACACAAGCATGTTCACACATACACACATATAGATACTCATAGATACACTCTCACAGATACCACTCACACTGATACACAAACTTATACTCACAGACACACTCATGTAAACATACATGTAGGCGGTGCCCATAGCTCAGTAGGTAGGGTGCCAGCCACATACACTGAGATTGGAGGGTTCAAACCCCGCCTGGGCCAGCTAAAACAACAATGACAACTGCAACAAAAAAATAGCCGGGCGTTGTGGCAGGTGCCTGTAGTCCCAGCTACTTGGGAGGCTGAGGTAAGAGAATCGCTTAAGCCCAAGAGTTAGAGGTTGCTGTGAGCTGTGACACTACAGCACTCTCTCGAGGGCAACATAGTGAGACTGTCTCAAAAAAACAAACATACACAAACATATGTATCACACAGACACAACACACACACACACAGATACCACTCAGGCAAACATATACACACAAACACACTCACATGACATACTGCACAAAACAGACATGCTCATACACACAACACACATGCACACATAGACATACTACACAGAACTCAGGCACACTCACATACATGTATACACACTCATACACTCACATGGACATACACACGATACGCAGACACACACACACTCGTACACAGATACCACTAACGCATGGGCACACACACACTAACAGTCTCAGGCAGGTGAAGTTCAGCCTCCCTCCTCGGGGCATCCAAGCCCAGGATGGCCTCACCTGTTGTGGGCGTGGGCTCCCGGCAGGTGAAGCAGCACTGTCCAGGGCCCAGCCACCACTCCTCTTGGGGACAGTCCAGCTCAGGACATGGCATGAAGGAACACTGCACCTCCCCATTCTGGAAGAGAGTCAAGGCCATGGGCCAGTGAGGGCTAAAGAGAAGGCTGCAGGCTGCCTTCACCCTCCGTGTGCCCTCAAGTAGAAGTGACAAAGAAGTCTCCAGGGAGCAGAGGGATGTGGGTTCTTCACGAAGGACTGTAAATGTTCCAATCCCTGCATGGTCACTTCCCTCACTCCCTGAACAGCAAAAGGAGTCTGTGATGACCAGCTCATACTGGGGCACAGGAGCCAGGCCCCTGGGCACCTCCAGAGGTGCCACACTTTCACCCCTGCCCGGCTCTGCCTCCCCTACTGGCCTGGCTTCTCAGAGAGCACTCCCACGGTAAACCACCAAGAAACTCCTGCTCCTGGGGAATCCAGCCAAGGCCCCTGCCCATTGCCTCACCTCCACCCAGAATGGCTGGCCTCAGTCCTCCACCCTTTGGCCACACAGTACCCCCTGCCAGGCATAGCACCCTGGCTCCTCACCTGATTAGTCCCGGCCGTCCTCCAGGTTTCCATTTAGCATCCCTCCCTCCAAGGCCTCAGGCTTCTTGCTCACCTGGCCCATGGCCCATCTAGTGTGTGTTTCTAGACTGAAGGCACTGCAGACCTCTCGTGGTTAGCCATGTCCCCAGCACACAGTAGGTGCTCTATTAACAGCAGTGCTTAAAAATGAATTTCAGATTGGGCACTGTGGCTCAAGCCTGTAATCCTAGCACTCTGGGAGGCCAAGGCCAGTGGACTTCTTGAGCTTAGGAGTTCGAGACCAGCATAAGCAAGAGCGAGACCCTGTCTCTAAAAAATAGCCAGGCATTGTGGTAGGCACCTGTAGTCTCAGCTACTTGAGAGGCTGAGGAAAGAGAATCAAATTCTCGAGCCCAGGAGTTTGAGGTTGCTGTGAGCTGATACCATGGCACTCTACCAAGAGTGACAAAGTGAGACTCTGTCTCAAAAAAAAAAGAATGAACTTTAAGGAGACTTGTAAAGGCCTGAAGAATCCCTGTAGTACCTTTGTTGTCCCGTTTCCCGTCTACCCCTGGTCAGATCATCCTGAGGAAAATCCTGTGTCCTGTTCCCTTCCCCATCACCCACCATTTCAACAAGCCCTGCAGCCCTCTGCCACTGTACCTGGCAGACACAGGTGGTACACTCGTCACCACCCACACTGAACACAGCCCCATCCGAGTACCACCGGCCATGGAAATAGCATCTCACTGCAGATAAAAAAAGGAACAGCAGCTCAGGGTCAGTGGGCAAGGGCAGCTAAAGGTCAAGGGGATTGAGTGGGTGGGGAAATCCTGGAGCAGCTAACACCCACCCGCTATACTCCACAGCCCAGGAGCCCTGAGCACTGCTCCACCTCCAAACCCCAAAACAAGTCACTGTAAAATCCAAGAGAATGAGTCTCATGTAAAATGAGGGCCTTGGCCAAAAGGCAGGGGAAGCCCTAAACAACTTAAGAGTAAGAGGAAGTAAGAAGTGACAGCCCCAGACTCCTAAGACAAAGTGGTTAAGGTGAGACCTCCTCCCCAATCTAGAGACAAAGCAATGGGAATGATGCAACCTGTGGCAGTTGTGAGGATTTAGTGACAGCCTCTGCTCTGAAGATAGCCCTGAAGACAAACAGCCTAAAATACTGCCCAGGGCCATCTGCCTTTAGTTGAACCACCTGCATTCAAATCCTAGCTACACAATTCACTGGCTAGAGGTTTTGGGCAAGACACTTAAAGCTCTCCGAGCCTCAGTTTTTTCATCTGTAGAATGGGGTTGATAATAGTTCCTACTTCATAGGGACTATCCAAAAATAATTTTGTTTTTAAAAATTTTGACACTTAAAAGTTAAGAAAAAAAATTTTTAAAGAATACCAGCTTTGAATTCAGGTAGACTTAAGTTCAAGTTCTGCCCCATTACTAATTAGTTGTGTGTCTTTGGGCAGTGACTTGATGTCTCTGAGCCTCAGTTTTCTCATCTACAAAACAGGGCAAGTGCCTCACACAGCAAGAAGCACAGAGCTGGCAGGGAATATCTGTGACAGTGACAAGGCCATCCCAGGAACCAGAATGACACTAAAAAAGAAAGGACCAATTCATTAGTGGTTAAGGTGAGACCTCCCCCCAATCTAGAGACAAAGCAATGCCAAGGGTGGACTCAAACCCTTTCCTGCCTGTGTTAAAGGTGCCTCCTGGGGCAGGGGGGAGGCCAGGCTGTGAGCACAGTCTAACACATAGTAGTTATGCACATAGTAGGTGTGCATATAGTAGTCACTTGATACAAATAGGCAATTTGAAATGCTATACTTGTTCTGAGTTTCTAAAGCTGAAACTAACCTCCTTCCTCTCTCTTCCATTCTCCCCACCCTAATACATGCTCAAGGACACCCCTCCCTTACACACACAAAAAAGCAAAATTTCCCTAGAGAGTCACTTACCTGGGACACAAGTACAGCAATCAGACTGGGGAGGAGTCTGACAGGGGCCAGAGGGACACTCGGGGGAAATACAGGAAACGTTCCCAGCCTGAGGAGGAGGTAAGAGACAGCTCTGGGGTTTCAGGGGGTGGAATAGGGCCCATTCCCTATTTTATATGACTGTCTAACACCAAAGCTGCCTAGAGGAAGTCAGCTGAGACCTTCAGATGCTGCCATGATCACAGGGACAGTATTCCTGCATTTATGCCGGTGCAATTTAGAACATCTCCTTTGCCAAGACACATTGCTTCGTAAAAAAGCCAAGCCAGCGCAGAGAGCAGAGTACACTCCCCCCTTACGCTCCCTGGAAGCTCTGTGAGGGGGCTCCCACCAGGCAGGAGACTTTCAGGCACCTCCCTATATATCTGAGTTTTGTTTTTTTTGTTTTTTTTTTTTTGAGACAGAGCC